AAAATCCAACTGAAATTCTAATGGAAAACTCATTCCAGCGGAATATTTTTGTTGGAATTTCCGTTAGAATCCGTTGAGAAATTCCAATAGAAAACTCATTCAAGCGGAATATTTTTGTTAGAATTCATTGAAAAATTCCAACAGAAACAATTGCATTGGAATATCCATTGGAATTGCAGTTGGAATTCCATCGGAGTATATTTCCGTTAAAATTTTCCATTAGAATTCCATAACATTTTTATAGTGAAAGGAAATTAATATAGAAAAAAAAAAAGGGTTACTGTCACTTGAAGGAGATATGTATTCCAAAATCTACTATGTATAGATGAGTAACAATTTATGTATTCTGTTCAAGTCATAATTTTTTACCCATAACACTAATAACCATGTAAATTTAACAGAAATTAGATGCATATATTATACATATCGAAGGTTAATCAACTGAAAATATTTGTAACTTTTGTTTTTGGAATTTTATACAAATACCTTAAAGTATAAATTATCAACATTCTAATAAAAGTCTGTTAAAAAATTCAAACAATCCATTTAAAATATTTTTTAAATTAAAACAAAAAAATATATATTTTGGCTTATTGGACAAATATGTATTACAATATTGTCAATCTATAAAAAAAATATTACATGCTATTTTAAAATCGAATATAAAAAAATTGGGTCAAATTTTTAAAGTTGTAAATATTGATGTGAAAAATAATATTCTAATAATATTCTTTTGGGTTTGAGAATGAGTATATCAGTTGGAGAAGAATTATTATTTGATGTGACAAATATTGTAAAATTGAAACTGAGAATAAATTTTTCAGTTGGAGATGACCTTAGCCCTAAACTCGATGGACCTCTCCTTCATATCACCTCTTCAACCAACCCCAACCATGACCCTAAACCAAATTATACCAATTCATGAAAACAGATGAGTTATCCATACCATATCACATTAGGATATTTATAGATTAAAAAAAGGAAAGAATCTGATATAACCATAGCTGGGTTGTACCATATTGGCGCCAAGTCTTGGTAGGTCAGTCGGCTGAGAAAACAACCAGGTTGACATAAGGAGTGAACATAGGAAAAAATTGCATGAACAACGACCAGGTGAGGTGAGAACGACCTAAGATCGATACTGTTGAAGTGACCTCCATAACGACAGCAAGGACCCTACTCCTATGTATCCCGTGAGACGACCTAGCTTATTGGTGTTGTGTTATATACTCACAGATCCCAACAATTAGGACATGTTGATACTTAAACTATAGTAGACACCTGGAGCATAGGTCGAGTAAAGGATATAATGGAAACCAAAGAGAATCTAGTTAGGATAAGAAAGAATAATGGTGACGAGGATGACATTACAATAAGGTTCAACTTCAGGCAGCCTATAACCATTTCGTGCAGACAGGCGAGGCAGCTGGGCAGCCCAATCTTGGGCATCAAAACACTCCCCAACAAAAGGCGCTGAGTTATCACTGTAAAAATTTTATATTCTACAAACACCACATACTCTCTACTTATAGAGCTTATTATCTCCTTTTGTTGAAGAAAGTTTATTTTTTCTAAGATACGCTAATGCAAGGGAAATTTTAAATAAAAGGGCTATAATTAAAAATTGAATGTAGCTCCAAAACAATTCTTGACTAAATAGTCTGAAATCAAAATTGGGATAAAAGTTGAAAGATGAGACTTGAGAGTTATTTGTCGGCCTGGTGGGCTGAAATTTATTAAACTGAAGTTGGTGAATTTGGGTCATTTGCTTTTGTAAGGAGTGGACTTTTAAGATTCGGAATAAAGATTTCACGTTTATGACCAATCAACAAATAAGTCCATGGGTTGGTTTATCCACTCAACTGACTCTCTCTTGGGGTTTGCCCATAAATAATTAAACCTATAATTTCTTCAAAGTCTAATAAATGGCATAGTGACTTATTCACTCTAAAACACATCATATGTAAACAAGTCTTGAGGGAACATTGTAGATACACTGAAAATTTGGCCAATCAAATGGCGTCACGTGGAAATAAATATATTAAGAATCAAGTCATTTGTCTTATTTATATTTTGAAATTTTCATAAATTTAAATAGTTATTAATTGATATCTTAATAATCTAACTCTCGGCCATTCAAATAATGCCAAGTGTCAAATCTTATTTCTTAGTAAATAAATCACATATCTTTTAGAAGATCTTCGGAGAATTAAGTAGATCCGGAAGATCTTATATGAATCAGATGGACCAAATCATATGGACCAATCAAATAACGTCTTCCGATTCTTAAATATGATAGGGTTGTCTCTGTTACACCTATAATAGGACTCCCATTACAGAAAAAAAACATATATCACAACTTGTATTCAGGTTCAAGAGCTCTAGAGATTCTCTTAACGAGATTCAATTGCTCCTAAAGATTAATGACGTTCTAGATGATTTGGAGCAAGATTCAAGCGTGTTCTACCTCAAGACTAGCATTTAATTCGAAAACAAACTGTCAAGCCTCCAAATTACGTTAGTAAACTCGAAAAATTGGTGCGAAAAAGATCCAAGATCGACTTTGCGGCGAAAACACCACATTTACCTTGAAAAAATTCATAAGTAGAAAGCGAAACAAATACGGAGTAACGAATCTTAGAACTAAGTACTCGCTCTCCTATTGCATGGTCAAAGAAAATCGGAGTGAAAAGCTCCAATCATGAACAAAATTAAAGTCGCTGGAATTTCACCGAAAAATATGAGTCATGGAGCTTCCAACACAAGGATAGAGGATAAAATAAAAAGAGAGAGCTAATTTCCCAACTAAAAAGTTGAGAAATTAGGATGGTGTCCAAAAATATAAAGCACAGTGTCCATTTATAGCTACACCACAAACGCACACAAAAACTACACACATTTAATGGATTACGTAGTTCGCCGGGTCTCGAGATGGGTTTCGCAGCGAGTTAGGCATGTGCATAGGGCTGATCACGGGCTACAGGTCGAGGGTTGCGACCTCAGGCTCGCTGGCGAGTTTGCTAGGTCGTCTTGCGCCCAGTACTCGCATGCTCGCGAATGGAGCTCGCTGACGAGTGTTGGTCAGCTGGGGGGCACGCGGTCGCGGGAATGAACTCGCAGCAAGTGCGCAGGCAAGTGCTGGAAAACTCATGGGCTTGTGGAAACTGACTCGCATCGCGAGTCTGGGAGTGCTGGCATAGGAAACTCGCGACGCTGTGAGACGTAGCTCGCGTTATTTGTGTGCAGGGGCGCTGGGAGGAATCTCGTACGCGGTCGCGTGAGCAGACAGGGCGCGGGCGTGCGGCTCGGGCTTGCTGGCATGCTCGCGAGTCATGATTGGGAAATCGTCCGAGACGCTTCGAAATGGATCAGACGACTAGACAATGGTTCGGATGGCTCGAATAATGGTTCGGGCAGCTCGCTCTTCCAAACTTCTCAAACAAAATGATCTAATCAACACCGAAAAAATACGACAAAGTACAAAAAGCACAAGATGGACGCAAACAAATACACAAAACACAATAAAATGGACTAGTTAACTCTAACATGAACTTAAAAGACACAACTAAATCACGAAAACCACATAAAATACCACAAAAATACAACAATTAGTTAGTTCAAGTCAAATCAAGTCAAAGAGAAGATCAAGTCAAAATCAGAGGAGAAAAAGATATTGTAATCCACAAAGTCTATTTGATTCGAGAAATTCATTTGTAAAATTTCGTGTTTATAAATTCAACACACGGAATTTTTGTTACAGTCTTACCCGATTTTACATTTTTATTTAATTAACTTTAAAATTTAAACAAAAACAAAAACAAATTTAGTGAACTCTAATTTGTGTTTGGCTTAAGGTTTTATTTGTATGGTTTGACTTTGATTTATATTTATGCATTTTTTTTTTTAATTGAGGTTTACCCAAAAAAACCAAAAGGCACTTAACCAAAAATTTCGATTTGATGCGGTTCGGTATTTTATTTTCGTGCAGCGAAGTTCGTGTGCAAATTTTAAATTTTTGGGGGTGCGTTTAGGTTTTGCTCACCGCTAAGGGGGTGTTTGTATACAAAATACTTCACTCACATCTTAGTTCATACTCAAAATCAACTCAACTTTAACTCAATCTCACTATATTTATATTATTGATATAATAAAATATTACAAGTCAAATTATTCCTATACATCACGACAACTTTAATTTATTATTCATCAACCATATAATTTTAACTAACTATCACTTTACTTTATCTTTCTCCTATTATATCAAATCAACATAATTGTTTTAATTTAAATATTATTTTAATATAAATTCAAAATCTCATTAACAACTAACAGTACAGTAATATTAGTAAAAAGAACAAGTGGGCTTCATGTTGTTGTGGTTTAAAAAAATTGAAACGAAAATTGAAACGAAATAAATGATTTTTTTTTTTTTAATTTATTTATTAATAAGTGTACAATGGCGCCCCGCAGTTTCAATCATTTGCAAGTGAGACCGATGAGGGCAGTAAAGTAATATTACTAAAAAGAACAAGTTGGCTTCGCCCCATCACCCAACTACTCCACTCTCATACACAAATCAACTACAGCAGCCTCCGTCTCTTTCTCTCTACTTTTTTCTGCAGCTAAATTCAAGATCAGCCACCCTTCATCGAACAGCTGGTGAGCGGGTCACTCTTGATCGGATCAGAAGGGCAATCAGTTTCTTGAGCAGATTTTTTTTTTTTTTTTTTTTT